CCCCCCCAATGCTGCTGCCTCTATTAGAGGCAGCAATGCAGGGGGGATAAGTGGCACTGTGGAGCCGGTGGGGGGGGACGGGGAAACTGGCTTTTAAACCAGTGCCGCCAGCACTACGGATGTTAAATTTCAGTTAATCGGCTAATTGAGTAGTTGATGGAATTTCTATCAATTAGTCGTTAAGGAGGACACTCGCTACCCCGGCTGCGCCTCTCCCTTTGAAAGGTACAGGAGCCATGGGCGACTCTTGTACATTTCAAAAGGAGAGAGGCAGCAGGTTCTCCTCTGCGCCTCTTGCTTTGAAATTTACAGGAGCCACAGGCAGCAGTCGGGACAGTGCAAGCCGGACTATTTCAGTCCCCACTCACATTATTTTCCCTCTGCCTCCCCTGCCCCCGGTGGAGATGGTGCTGGGGGGGGGGGGGCACAGGCATTTGCTTATTGGGTAGTCGACTAGTGGCTACATCCCTACCAAGTACCAGCTCCTGCCTGCCCCTCCGAACCCCACTGCCTCTGTAGGAGGCAGCAAGAGGGGGGAAGGTGGGTCTATGGAGCCGGTATGTGTCGGGAGCCTGCTTGAAACCTGGCTCCCTGTGCAGCAGCATGGGTAGTGAGGGGGGCAGGCAGCTTTAAGCCAGTTCCTCATGGACACCGACTGCCACTGACACGGGCAGCAAGGGGGGAGGGAGCGCATGTAGTTGTCTGCATGTTGACAATCCCTAATAGCAGGTACCAATCAATGAATGCCAAGTTCTGTAACTCTGAAAAAAGATACATCACTTACTACTTAACCTGAAGACACTGAGATGCTTGTGTGTGCCTGGATAAATGTTTGTTCGGTTCCATGTTGATCAGTTCTCATTTCTTGCATCTGTTTTAACTTCTTAAATTATGTTCCATTGAATTGCTGTTCAGATTTTCCATGTGTTTAGCATATGTCTTGATCTTAGATGCCTCCCTTTAGTGATAACCTTACCTACAAGAGTAGGGATATAAGCTAGGTACTTCCTTTTGAAAGATCCTGTAATAGCTGTTATCTAAAGCAGGCAACCTATGTAAATATCAACACCAAGCAATATTTGCTTGAGATTAAGGCTGTCTTGGCCTGTTGTTCTAATATAGACTCCTGCAGGCCTTTTTTTTTTTAAAACAATGAGGTGTAAAGCAAGCTGCAGGCCTTTTTTTTAAAACAATGAGGTGTAAAGCAAAGAAACTTTATTTAGTATGCAGTAGAGATTCTGTGATCCAGGAATACAAATGTGTATTCAGTATTATCTTCAGATAACTGTTTGCAGATAAGGTTACCCTTCCTCATTCTCCATAGTTGAGTCTAACCAGTTCTTACTTCTCATATTTCACTACCTCTTCTATACCTTGTGGGCTGCAGTCATCATCTGGTGGGTGAGAGACTTGGAATCTAGCCCTCCAGCAAAAGGACAGTAAAGATATCTCCCATCTGGACTGTAATTACCCCAAAAGCAAAATGCGTATCTTTCACACCTCAGTGATGCAGAGTTGCTCTGAAGCATGCCCTGAAACAGGAGCTTTCTCTCTAGCCTGTTGCAGAGAAGGCTTTGCATCTACAATTTTCTGCCCTGTCTGGGATTGGTAGTTCATTTTCCCTGTTTATACAGAGTTTCTCAATAACCTGTGTTCCCTGAGCTAAAGTGTTGTTTCTTGATTCTCCCCAGGCCCAGTCAGTAGTCATTCTGTTGATGCAGGGTGAAGGAGGCTTCGTTTGACCTAGCTTGCAGCCCTAAAATAAGCTCAAGTGCCTAGTGCGAGGTTTGACGCCTGCACCCTTACTGTATTGCCTCAAGCCTTTTCCTTCAGATGCTTGACACTAAGGTTCGTTCTGTTCTGTTCTGTTCACCTTCTTTCTGTATTCCATCTTTTAGGCTCTTTTTTGGGTAAAGAGACCAGAGAAAGGGACACTAGGTTGTTTCTATGGTGGAAAGACCAGGGAGAGACTGCCAAACTGACGCAAAAACGGCTCTCTTCTTATAGTCCAGCTATCACATAATATGCCTTGCCCAGCAGCAAACTCCAGGAGACTTCATCTGTCAGAACTCCTTTGTTTGAAAGGATTGAGGCCCAGTAAACAGTAGGATGGTATTGCCAAGTATTAAGAGCCATCATATTAGTCCCAGAACCTAAGCATAAGAAATCAAGATTTTGGCCCCAAAATGTCATACGATTGGTTTTAAACCTATATTAATGTTTTAGTTTTCTTCAAGATTCGTGTTCTCTAGTTTTTCTCCATAACCGTTAGGTATAAAAAATTAAAAAGTAAGTAAATATAATCACAAGACCCTAAGGTGCTGGGGTTTTAAGAGAAATCCCAAATATATTTTGAAACTCAAAATAAAAATCACTTGGTTTGAGCATGCCAACTGCATAGCACATTTTGTTTTTTTCCATAGATTAAAGCTGCTGATTAACAATAAATTCTTTTGTCAAGAGGATATGTAAACCCTTAACAGAGGGGTTTTTTAATTCTCATGCTTCTGCTAGTGTAATCTCCTCTGTGGCCTTGGTGCCTCCAAACTTGCATCTTCAGGTTCATCCCAGGTCAGTGATGAAATGACAGCAGCAATTAGAAATAAAAAAGCAATATGTAACAATTGGAAAAGGAAGGCTTCCCTTATCAATTCTTCTACACTACATCATTTGCAATTCCCCTTGTATTCTTTGAAATCAATGAAAATCGATGATTGTCAGGGCGAAGGACAATAAGGTGTTTTAAATTATATTATGAACAAAATCCTAGCAATCGTTGATAGACCTATGGAAATGATATAATTGTTGATGATGGGAGAAAATGAAGAAGTGCAAATATTTCCGTTCTGTATTTGGCAGAGATAATGCTTTCCAAGTACATTAGTAACTGTGAAAGAAAATGCCTTTGATAACTACATTTGAGTGAACGTTATCCAGGCCTGCTGGTGTCCTAAAAGAGTTGGCTGAGAGAATCTGTACTGCTAATGTTTTTTTTCCTCAGTAAACCTTGAATATCAGGGAAATTCCAGAGGACTGGAAGAGTGCTAGTATTGTGCCAATATTAGAAAGGGAGGGGGGCAAATGGGATGACCTGGATAATGATAGGCTGGTTTCATGTGGTTACACAACTATTCAATTACAAGCTATCTAACATCCCTACCTGTTATAACAGTCTCAGAATGATGAGATCAGATTTCCCTCAGCAAATAAGGAAGATGAATATTCAGTAACCTATCCATAGTAGCTAAGAGCCAGTAAACCTATTCTTCCACAGTAGTTTGATTAGAACAACTAAAGTTCTAAGGTACTGATCACCAATTTATACTATTAGTCACTGTTGAAAATGTGGATTAGCACTAAATTAGTGCTACACAATTACCTTTATCAACCAAACTTGACATCTCAGAGATGAAACCCATGTTGACTAGCATTAATTATATTCATATCTTTTACTACTCAATCAGCTGAATCCAATATCAGGTTTTGCATTACTCTAGCTATATAGTGCTTATTTTTTAAATTATATAGTATTTATACAATGAAAAACTTGTTAAATATACTAGTATTTCTAGTTGAGTTCCTCATGGATTAGTAGTAGGCCCAATGCTATTCAACATTTTCATCAGTGACTAATAGTATAAAATAACTAATGATTAAACTTAATAAATTGCTGGACCCTACTTCCCTTAAAGGGCCAGACATTTTGTGTTGTATTCACAAGAACACAACCTGATAGCATCGTGGACATTGCAGGCACTGGCAAGTAGTAATCACTGCTAGTGACTGGCTAAGAACCTGAACCCATCCTATGAGTTGTCATCTTGTCTGCCCCGGCCAATTATGTGCCTTGTTCACCTGTCCTATCTTTTAGATTCTGCTATTCCTCCCTGTTCCACACACCCAAGCACCTCAGAAGTGCTGTCACTCTCAGGAGGGGTGGACTTTGCTTGGTCTCTTGAGGTCCAGGGTTATTCTGCCTTTGTGACTGTGTTGAACTGACGATTCCCTACAAGAGACTTGGATTATTCAGACTTCTACCCCAATGGCAGTGCCTCCTGGGAAGTGATTGGTAACCCACCCTAATAAGGGATATCCTAATTTTTTTAATAAGTACACAATTCTCAAATGTCCAAATCACACCAGTAAGCTTTATTAAACAATAAAAATTGTAAAGACAAAAAATGTCAGGAAGAAGATATACTAAATAAGTATATATGAACATGGCTAGATTTCTAAAATATCTGGACACCACTATTTGTAAAGGAATCTATAACCCTCTTTATTTTCTTTTGGTCACTTAATACAACCAACCACAAAGTCTCCCTGACTCTCATTATGTCATCCCCGTACCATTTCAGTTCTGCGTCCAGCTACTTGTACTTGTGTACGTTGAAGGCACTGTGGGCTGATAACCTTCTTGTCTGAGGGATCTGATGATCCACAGAGCTACCTGTGGATATCTTTTCAGCACCAAGGAATGGTCTGAATCCTTCTCTGCTGGGGTAACAATCTTAGCTATGAGATTTTTCTATTTTTCCTTCTGGATGTGATAACTGTCAGCGATCAGGCTGTCGCAGCCAGCTGAACTGCCTGTCCCTGCTCTCATGATGGCATGGCAGGCCCTATGGGAACACAGTTTGATGGAGTTTCCCAAATGAGAATTGGGGAAATTAGAGGGGGGAAAAGTCAGTCTGAGAGTGGAGCTGGATGGTCCTTTCCTCTCTAGTGCTCCATGTCAAATGAGATAGGGCCCTTTCCATGGTCACCTCAAAGGTGGGGCTACCTCCTACCAGCGTATTTCTCAACTATTTGCAGTGTTGTAGCTATGCTGACCCCAGGTTATTAGAGACAAGATGGATGTGGTAATATGTTTATTTTTATTTTACTTAAAAGAGCTCATGTAGATGGAAAGCATGTTTCCAATGTTCTCTCTAATCTTTTTCGATCCATGTGCAGAATAAATTGTGGTATATGCACCAAGGCAAATACAAATGTGCACCACCAGTAGAAACAAAAACTAGCTGCAGGCGCTCTGCTAATCAGCTGTGTGGCATTGGAATCTCTTCTGAGCAGCTGCACAAGTGTACAATTTACAGGGAACACTGCTTGTTTCTCCCCTCCCCCCGCCCCCATGGAAGTTGATGCAATAAAAGATACTGCCTCAGCCACCTTGTCCATCTAAACCCATGGTGTCCAACCAGTTCTGAAACAGTAGCTACTATAATGGCTGCTACTATAGTGGCTACTGCTGTAGTGAACTAGCCACACTCAACTGGCCAAATAGCCTCATGTGGCTAGCATATTAGACACCCTGGATCTAAACTGTCACCCCAGAGGGATATAGACCCATTTTCTCTCTTCCAATCAGCGCTCGCCTCTGTCTGGCCATTTGGGGCTGTTAGTTTAGTTCCCTCCCTCCAGCCTCCTCTCTGCTCAAGAGAAGGTCACCTGATACCAGTGCAGCAACACTTCTGGGATGCAGTCTTCTATCCTGGATAAGTTTCAGCCTCTTATGGGAAGGAGGTGGGGACATTACAGCTGTAAGCTTTTTCTGGCAGGGGCTGTCACTTATTCCATGTTTGTATGGTGTGTAGCACAGTGGAGCCCAATTTGGCTGTAGCCTTTCAATTCTTCTACATTATAAATGTATGAGTTGTGTATTGGGATGGGCGGAGTGCAGAGCATATGTTGGAATAAACTGATGCATCAGGTTGTCTAGCTTTCAAAAGTTACAGGTTAACTTGTTTGTTTGTTTATAAAAATTCTTTAGGGATTTGTGCCTGGTCTGTTTGGAACTTCACATGGAGCACTTCAGTTCATGGCATATGAGGAGCTGAAATTGAGATACAATAAACATAGAAACAGACTATTGGATACAAAATTGGTAAGCTGTCTTGAAATAGAAACATCTGTATATTATAGTATGTGAGTATATGGAATCCTGAACTGTATGTCTGGAATGCCTATCAGATGACAATGTACTGGTTTTGTAATTGCCACAAACTGCCAATTTTATTACTATTAATGTTATGGTAACTTTTTTTGGCAGATCACGTAGAGAAAATTTCAACTTTTAGAACAAATTACCTCATCACAAGCCCATCAGCACTGTTTTTACCTGTTGCGGAAATCCACTTACCATTTCTAGTTTTGGAGACTTGGGAAATCCTTTTTTCTTTTCTTTTAATTAATTTGTATTTAATTAACTATAGTTTCACAAGTATAAACAAATACAAAAGTAACTATCCTAAAAGTATATTACAGATTACTTTCTTAGTATATTACTTAAGTATTATATTACGGTTGTGGTATAAAAGAGAACATCCAGTATTGATATTTTTACATCAAAATAAGTATCTCTAACACCAGTATTAATGTGTAATAAATATCAATACTTGTTGGACCTTGTAAGCCAGGGGTGGGGAATCTTTTTTGGGTTGGGGACTGATGACCTACAGAAAAATTAATTGGGGGACCCCACACAAGTGAGAGGAACCAAAAAAAACCCCCTCACTGACGTGGCCCATGACTGAAAAGAACCACACACAAGTGAGAGGAACCAAAAAAAAACCCCTCACTGACGTGGCCCATGACTGAAAAGGAATAAGACACTGCCCCGCTTCCCCCCATTCCTCTTGTACACCAGAGCCATGGGGGGCCCAAGCTAATAGATTTTGTGTGTTCCAGCCCTGTGTGGGGTGAGGGGAGAGGGAATGGAGGGCCAGTGTGGGCTCCCCAATGCTTGGGGGGAGCCCTGAGCCTTGGGGACTGGATCCAGGCAAGCCAGCGGTTGCATCCGACTCCAGGCCTTAGGTTCTCCACCCCTGCTGAATACCCTTCTTAGAGAGAAAAAAACTTAATTACTGTTTTGTTTATGGTGTAGAAAGCACTTTGATTTCCAGCATTTTATTCAGTTGTTCATAATTTGACTTAAACTAACATTGGTAACTTTTGTTATAATTTTAGACTTCATTAGAATACATTACCATGGCAGCACTGTCCAAAATATTTGCTGTGTCAGCAACGTACCCATATCAAGTAGTGCGAGCCCGACTTCAGGATCAACACAATAGGTACTCTGGAATGGTTGATGTTATTCGCAGGACTTGGAGGTAGGCACAGAGAAGTAAAAATGTAGTTCTGTGAAAATGACATCACCTTAATTAACAGATCTGCTCCCAGTATGTAGTCAGTGTTGTATCTGCTGACTTCAGTGGTGCGTTTTTATTACTGCTTTTTATTATAGGTTAGACATCCCTGGTCCAGCACCCTCAGGACCTGAGCTGTCCCAAACCAAGGAGTTTGCCAGACCAGGGGAGGTCAATGCTTCCCTGCTGGCTGTTCTGCTCCTGGGTTCCTCTCCATTGGGCTCCCTGCCTTGCCATTGGCCCAGCTAATGCTGACCTGGCACAGTCTCCCCACCCTACTTCCTGAACATTGACCCAAGATCCGTTGGGGTACCTGTATGGGACAGCCTGGCCACTGCCAGGAGTGCTGTCACATGGTGTTTTCCAGGGTTCCTGGTCTAGGGCCACCCAACCACTGCCAGCCCCGCTGCCACTGGGGGTTTCACGGCCGGGACTGCCCAGCCTGGACTCCCTGGGATTCCCCAGCTGTGCTTCAGCCCGGGGTTCCACAGCCAGTGCTGCCCGATCCGGCTCTGCTGCCATCAGGGATATCCTGGGGTTCCCAGCTGAGGCCGCTCTGCTGCCCCCAGCCCTACTGCCACAGGAGAGAGGGTCCCCAGCCAGGCCACCTGTCACCAGAAGCCCCACTATAGCTGGAGGTTCCCCAGCTGGGGCCAGATTCCCTGGCTGCCTGGCCTAGCTGATGCCAGAGGTTCTTTGGCCAGGGTGGTGAGCTGCTACAGCACTTCAGTGAAAATGCTAACAAACCACTGGGAAGAGTGTCTCCCATCAGAGTAGTTATCCACCTCCCCAAGATGCAGTAGCTATATTGATGGGACAAGGTCTCCCATTGACATAGCAGTTTCTGCTCAGGGTTAGGTCAGTATAACTACATTACTCAGGAGTGTGGGTCTATATTGCTGTCCTGGATTTAGTTAAATCTATATAAACCCTCTAGTGGGTTGGCAGTGGTGTTTTGAAAGTCTAGCCCTTGATGACAATGAATACGTGTAAGACTGCATATTGAGGGTGGGGAAAGGCATCCTAGACTTCCACGTTTGTCTCAGTGATTATCATTCAGATGTGCTTAAAAATGCCCTTTTTCCCCACCAAAGGAAAGAAGGAGTTCATGGATTTTACAAAGGAATCATCCCTAATCTACTCAGAGTGACTCCTGCCTGCTGTATTACATTTGTAGTGTATGAAAATGTATCTAATTTTTTGCTAAATTTTAGAAAAGAGAATGATTAAATTAAAGTGAGGCATTTGCATCAAGAGGAGTTTACTGTCCTTTTTTTGAAACTTTTAATCCGTGAGACTGTTGTACAATACTTCTGTCTTGAGATTGTGAACTGCACCAGTAATCAGTGCAAGAATTTGAAGACCAAAACAATCCAAATGGACTTCTGTTCTACTGGAGCTGTCCTGCCCACTCTATTCCCTTCTTGTCTCTGAATCAGCAGCCTCTCTCTGCCTGAAACATCATCTCCATCCCAACCTTAAAACAGAACAGTGACTGTATAAAAGCAGACTTGCAACAGCTCTGTCCGTCAATGAACTGATCTTTCTAAATCAGCTTTTCCTCTACAAAGCAAGAAGCTGATAATATCCAGGGTTAATTCAGTGGGGTTATAAGGACAACCTGCCACAACTTTTGATATCGTAGATCTGTCAAACACAGGGCCTCTCTTCAGTTGTCTCCCTGGGCAAAAGGGCCTCAGCGGGCAGGATCCAGCCCACCAAGCGAGTTGATCTGACCTGTGGAAGCCCTGCTACTCCCCCACCCCCAGGCCAATTAGGGTCTGGGGGTGGGGAAGTGCACTAAGTTTCCTTTGCCTTGCCAGGAGCACACAGCATTTCAAAGTGTCGCGTGCTCCTGGGAGGAGGCTTCACGTGCTTCCCCGCCCCCAGGCCCTGATTGGCCTGGGGGTGGGGGAGCACTGGAAGTCTCTTCCCACTGCCAGGGGCATGGGTGCTTAGTGGGAAGAGGTAGATAAATGGGCTCCCCCAGACCAATCATGGTTTGGGGGTGGGGAAGCTCGAAGCATTCTTGCCCCACCCCTTCCGCTTGAGGCCCTGTCCCTTCTGGTGTGGCCTGGGGCCACTTCAGAAATTTTTGAAGTGGCCCTGGGCAAAAAATTATTGCCCACCCCTGCCCTATAGTACACGTTTGAACACGTGGTGAGCTGGAGTTTTCTAAATCCCATCCATTTGTCAGGTGTCAGAATTATGAATGCCCTGATTTGCAGTTGTGCAAACTCTGGCTTACTGGAGAGATTGCACGGGGACTGTACCAACATTTAGAGTAACTTCACGGTACTGAGTGGCTGGAGAAAGGTGAGGAAAAGTACTGTTCACCCTGACCATTATATTAACATTTGCTAAACTCCCAACTTTAGTGTAATGTCCAAGGCATCTTGCAAATATTTTGTAGTACCAGGCCTAAATCATGCTGTTATGGACCATGTCTCCAGTTTTTCCTCTTAGAGGGAAAGGCAAATTTTAGCTCTTAGTTATGGAGAGTACATATAAACTCTATGTTGAGTTCACATTGAAGTCAGTGCACATGTACAGACACACAGACCTGTTTAACACACAGCTTGGCTGTTTTTGCACTAGTGTTTGTAAGTAACAGCAGTTTTCAAAGCCTTATTTTAAACATATATATTTCAAAATGTTGGTCTTATTTATTCAGAGTATTGCTTGAAATCACTGTGTAGAAATTAATGCATTTCTGCTGTCTTTCACTGTCCATTAGAGAACCTGCCTTTTATAAAAGGGAAAAAGCCATCTTGCCTTTTAGGATATTGATTGTCATAACGTCAGCACTGGGTCAGTATCAAGGTATATGCTTTTCAGAGTTAGCAGACATTAGTTATTCTTAACTGTGCATCAGGAAGATTTATTCCTGTATATACACCATGAAAACATTCAATTGTTTTGTACAAAGTATCAAATGAGAGGCAGGAAATATAAATGTTAATACAAGAATTATTCAGTTAAATAACTTGGAGCCCTGCAACTGATTTGCATTGTATATTGCTCAGGAAATTGATTATTCTGAAAGCTCACCCTTTGGTAGCAAGCCAACCTAAACTTGGAGAAGTTCTTTACACATTAGAATTAATTTGGAGTAGAGGAATTGATTTCCTTTTTGTAAGCCTAGAATGAGAACATTGCAATAGTTCAGATGTTTGAATTGAGAGTGCTCAAAATTTTAAGAGTGGTTCATACAGTCCTGAGAATATAAATATCTAAATTATGAAATTGCTGGCATTCAGCAGGGATGGGATACTCTTTGGGTGCCATTTTTGGGTCAAAACCCAAATTTAAGCTGTGCAGATTTTTTTTTATTCTAGAGAAAACTAGTCTCTACATTTCTGCATGTCATACATGCTTTTGTGACTTTTCCTTTGGTTTGTGTCCTTAATGTAAAATGTGAGTTTTTAACGACATAGCATTTTTAAAATTGTACTAATACAAGAACCCCATTTTTGTGGGTACTGTGCACTTGGGAGTGAATACTTGGAATGCTACAGTTAGCTATGAGAAATGCTTGAATGATCAGTGTGGTTATTTTCTTTATCTAGTTTTACAAGACTGAACACATCATTTTTGTAGCACGATTGGCTTCTGCTACTTGCAAAACTATTCTGAAGGTCATGTAGTGTGAAGTATTTACACCCACTTTTAAATACTTATTTTTTCCATTTTGTGCTGCTAAATTATAATTATCTTAACAGCAAATTAGGTGGTGACTGGCTAAGAAGAGTATGATGTAAACTACTTTGTTGGGGAAATGAAATACCTTAATTCAGGTAAATCAATGTTTGCTGCAGTAAAATTGTCCACTGTATTCACCATTATTAGTCTTTTTTGACCTTCATACTAAAAAGAAATTGGGTGTTGAGAATCTCTTAATGAGTTATTTAACTTACTGCAGGGGAAGAGTGCTCAAATGGTATGGTGCAAACATAATCTTTAAACTGCAATTTGATGTTTACTGTTGGCCTGGATCTGACACTCTGACATTAATGAAAGATGAATCAACTATAGTAAAGTTGAATAATCTGGTGCTACAGTAGTATAATCAGGTTCATATAATGTGACTTGATGCTTTTGAGTAATGCTCTTGAAATCTAAAATGAAGAATGTCTAGTATTTTCCCCATAGTTGTTACTTTCATGTCTAATTGTTAAGCTACTCTAAAACACATGTTCATAACAGCCATGTAAAAACCCTTTGCATTTTGTTGTCAATAAATTAGCCTGGATTTTTGGCTCTCTTTGTAAAATGTCTTATTTATTTAACAGATATAAAAAGATTTAATCTACAGTTTTTACAATGGTAGATATTGAGTGTATAATAAAATTATTGGACGACCGTTACTAATGTTTGTTCTAAAACTATGGTACGAAAACTTGCCAGGTATATTTAATGGTTATGTGGCTACATGTTTAACACTTAAGCTGGAAAAATTCAATGAGGGTGCTTGTAACCACGTTTGTCCATTCTGGCCAGATGCTTACAAAGCTTTACAGAAATATTAAATTTCAAAATACATTGTACAAAATGTGTACAAAAATTGATATGAGGGCTTGGGAACAATGGAGGTTATAAAGCAACTTGGAAAAAAAACTTCTATTTTGGCAGCTCTTCAATGATGATACGAGAAACTGAATTCCATCCGGTAGAAGCATCACCTCTTGGGTAATCTGCACAAGTACCAACCCAGATAGCAACATCCACCAAACCAGCATTGATTCCTTCGCACAGACCTTCAACTGTTTAAAGACAAACATGTTATTTCAAATAATTAATATCACTTATTTCACTGATTTTTTTTCTCATATCCTGACTTAGTTAATATGCCAAAGAACACCAGTTTAGTGTAACTCTGTAGAAACTGCATTAATTAGGGTTAGTATGTTGCTACTGTTTAAATCTTCGGGGGAGGAGGGAGCAGGTATTGTATTCTACCAAGGGCCTCGGTATAAACTAACTGATTTTTAATGATCTTCTGCTATAGGAGTAGTTTTTAACCAGACACAGTTTCTTGTTTCTGTTCACTTTTTCAACAGTCCTCATTGCAATGGTAGTGCTAATCAGAAACATGAATACAATGGTAACAAACCCATTCTGATGCTCTGTGGCCATAGTACAAGTTTTTAATGGATTTTCTTATGTGGAGAAATATTATCCTGGGGAATGAGACCAGATAGTCAGAGGCCTTCTGTCATAGGCAAAGAGCTGAGCTGCTAGCTTCCCCATCCCCTATGGCCTTTTACCAGCAAAAGATGTCTTCCTGTGAAATCTTGTGGTCTATTCTGCCGCTGTGTGGTGAATATTCTCTGTACTGCAGCATCTGGTTTTATATACATATCTCTCACTATATGGCTATAGGAGCTTCAGGGGGGGTAGCCAAGTTGGTCTGTTACAGAAAACAAACAGCAAGCAAGTGAGCTTTCGTGGGCACAGCCATCTGTGGGCACGGTCGACTGAAGAAGTGGGCTGTGCCCATGAAAGCTCATGATACCATCTACATGTTTTGTTAGTCTATAAAGTGCCACCAGACCATTTGCTTCCTGTTTCTTTTTTATATGGCTATAGTCAGAGCTTGACAAACCACGGTGAGAGCTACTCGCCAGGCCTGCACCGCTCATGCGCCAGACCGACATCGCGCATGCGCGCAGTGCTGTTAAATGGGGCTCACGGAGCGACCGGCTGAAATCTACTCACCATGGGCAAGTAGCCCTGGCTATAGTTCAAGGTATAAAGGGGGTATGTGGTATAGGCATTTGTTTACTGGTTACTCCCATTTTCCCTATGTTCAATATTAAAAGATCAATAAGAAGCGTTGTGATTTGCCCTTTTCTTCAAAGATGGCTTCATGTAAGATGTAGGTAACTTTTAACATGATAGGTTTCACTGGTGAAGATGGGTGTATATGGGGAAATTCCTGCAGAAATTAGCCTTGTATGCAAAATTCTTGGGAAGACAGTTCCATACCTGATGTACAAAACTTTACAAAAGACAACACATGTCCAAGATGACACTGGTATTCCAGTCTTACCAAAGCACGATGCTATTTAGTTATACTGCAGTTGCCACACACATCTTTTGTATCTTGAATCATATTAAAGCTTGAGGGAGGGGGGTTGAATGTACTTAAAGTGACATTAAATCTAGTAAAATCATAAACATTGAGTGGTAATAAACCCAAAGCCACAAAAAATGCAGTTACTATATTTTTAATACTGGTACTGAATTCTGACAAAGGTGTGAAAAATCAGCAACTAGCAACTGTACTTCTGCCTCCCCTTTATGAGCCCTGGACTTCTAAATGAAGATTCGTATGAGGTTCCCTGAGTCACTGTTACCTTCTTCTTGAATGCCATTTTTGAGCACATAGCTTTGACATACATACCTGAAGAAGTGCGATGTATGTTAATAGTTGAATTCAGCTCTGGGCTTCCTTGGTCTAAATAAACTATGGCTTCAATTGGAAGTGGCCCAGAGCATTCTGCTCCATTAAATGTAAAATACCAACGCTGGCAACATGCATTTTTGCATTTGAGTCGAAGTGATCCACTGAAGAGTACTCTTAGAGCACTATTAGAGCGCATCTTTGTGAATGTACATTCCTAAGGAAAATAAGAACAAATTGTTGGCTGTGACTTTTGAATCCACTTACTAATTATATTTTAAAAATATATTAATCTCCTTCACTGTTCCTCTCCCCCCCCCCCCCTTCATTCTTCTGCCTTTTTTTTTAAGCATGTTGGCAAATAAGTCAATGCCACAAGACAGTGATTGATCTGTGTTCCAAACACCCCAAAAGATGGGTGAAGTTAAGATCTTCTATTTTAATAGACAATATATGCTGTCAAGCTAGGTATCTAAATATCTTTGGGGTTTTCCCTTCCCCCTTCTTTTTCAAACTCCCTTGCAGGAGAGGATAGTGTTACCAGCTCTCACAGTCCACACTTGGCACAAAAGGTTAGCCAGGAGAGGTTGATGGAAAGATGACAATCTACCTTGATGCTGTACAGGATGGATAAATTTATTTTTTTATAATTAATAAGGATTATTTAAATCAGATTTTCAAAATTTAAAATATTTGCTTTTAAAAGTTAATTAAACTTATGACCAGTTTTATTAAAGCCTTAACTTATTTTTAAAAAGCATCCAGCTACCGGTACTGGCTCAGCATATAGACACTAGAGTTTGCTGCAGTGTTAAACCATCCTGTGACAGCAGTAGCCTTTTCTGAAGGTACAGAATATTTTCATTACAGTGTATTTAACTAGTTCAATTCACTGATTTGTTTGAAAGTTAAGAAGCTGATTAGGAGTTAGAAAAAGCAGAAAACCTGTTTTCCTTTTCCAGTTTATGAAAAAGGAAATGGTCTCAGAAGATATCACCTAGTTCTAAAATTTTGAAGGACATGACAACTAGAAATAATCACGTCAACAACAACAGGTAAATGGAAAGCATGTTTTTGGGGGTGAGGGTGTGTGCGTGCGCTCCCTATTCTAGTTTTATTTAATAAAATGTGTGAATGTATTACTTGAATTCCCATTTCCATTCAGGTAAAGTTTAAAATCACAAGTAAAAAAAAATCTTGTAATAAGAAATACACCATTATTTCTGACAATGTAAAAATTAAAAATCTGAATAAATAAAAATTATGCTGTATAATTTCTTACATGTAAATAGCAAAATTATAAAATTTCATGTAAATAGTATATTTAGTTGCCAATTAACACATTTTAATGGTTACCCACCACTCAGAATAAACTTTTAGCAATATGACTCAATAGTATAAAAATCAAACACACTAAAATCAATTATTGAAATCAAGATTTCCTGCCTGCTGGTTAATATCTTGATTAAAACTGGTGACTTAAAGTGAGTCCAGTCTGATGCTTCTCCACCTACCCCTTGCTGAATATTTTGCTGATTGGGCCCACTATGGGGCAGTTCTAGAGTAAATGGAAATTCAGATATTTATGGTATCTATTAAGTTGATTCTCAACACTGTGGCTGCAACTGTACTAGTTAAACAAAGTAAGGGTGCCAATTTCAGGCTTGACATGTAGCTGCTACAGGTCTGGGATTTTTTTTTCTTCCCAGTTATCTTCTGAATCTATGAATAGTTCCATTTTTTTCTCATTTTAAAATTTCATACTTGGAGGCCTGTAATAAGTACCATAATATTTTTATTGAACTGGTTAGGATTTGTCAGTGCTGCACCAATCTCAACAGTAAGTTAGCCAGTTACTTTTACAGTCCATGTAGGAAAAACCTTGCTTCCATTTCTGTTTCTGAATACAGGTTTACTGTATGTACCCAGAACAGCACAGCTCTTTCACCTGAAGCTTTATTATTGAAATAAGCTACCTGGAGTGTCCAAACAGTTATTACATATAACAGAAATGGGCCTGAACTAAAAGTCTAGATGGGATCAACCTTAAGAACAGCCATACTGGGTCAGATCCAGTATCCTGTGTTCTGACAGTGGCCAATGCCAGATGCCCCAAAGGGAGTGAACAGAACAGGTAATCCTCTAGTGGTTCCTCTCCTGTCACCCATTTACAGCCTGTGACAAACAGGCACCATTCCTATCCATCCTGGAGAATAAGTATTGATGGACCTAACCTCCATAAATTTATCTAGCTCTTTTTTGAACCTTGTTAAAGAACCTTGAATGTTGAAGAAAGTTTCCATCAGTATTTTGTTGTGAATCCATCAATAGATGTGTCTACACAGTAGCGTGTAGTCTGAAATAAGCTACACAATTTGAGCTATGCAAATTGTGTAGCTTATATCAAGATACCCTGTTTAGAAATTTTGGTGCTGACTAAATAGTGCTAATTTCAAAATAGAGTGCTATTCCGACGAGTCCCTTAATCCTTGTGCAATGAGCTTTACAGGATGTTGGAATAATAAGCCCATTATTTCGAATGTATTTTGAAATAAAGGGCTTCCTGTTAAGATGTGCAGAATGCTATTTCAGGATAAAGGATATTATCCCAAAATAGTGCTGCTGTGTAGATGTACCCAATTATCTGCTGTGATGTTGCTTTAACATCAGATTGCAGCGTCATGGATGATTACTTACTGCAATTTTCCCAAGATCTATGCCATAATTCAGTGCACTCCATGAACACTGTTTAAAGTTGGGTGTCCAAGACTCTTCAAAGCTTTCTCGCATACATTCTCCTTTTTCTCCTTTCAGTCCATCCCGACCAGGGATTCCAGGTGTCCCAGGGATTCCATTGATTCCAGGGTTTCCATCTCGTCCAGGAACACCACCTGGTCCTTGTAAACACATTCCATTATACTGGAAAAAAAAAACATTTTTCACACTTCGTGTATTGATTCTAAGGCTCAAAAGCAATATTGCTTACTTTGTAGAAGTACTTATATAAAAAGCCATAAAAATTCCTTTATTAGGACACACACACAACAAACCACACCCAAACCAAAACAGTAACAATTAAATGAATGTGTTAAAACTGGCATTTGAATTTGCTATTATTGGGGCAGGATGGTAGTTCATTAATAGAAAATACTCGTATGTGCTAACTACAAAATGACATGGAAAAGTGTATAACAATGCAATGGAAATACAATAATAATTGCAAAAATGTTCCCCAGATTACAATATTAATATTGTCAATTGTAGGCCTCAAACTATGATAGTATTTGCTTTAACATTTTAGGTACACTATTCTATTAACAGTGTAAACATAACATTTAGTAGAGAAGATGATGAAATCCTAATAGGGTTATTTCTTCTCTCCGCCCACTTCCAAACCCTGAACAATTCTTAGGACCGATAGTTGTGCAGGGTGGACCCCACACAGTGTCATCTGTCTCCTATGCATGCAAATTGGGAGTAATAAGTCCAGGGAGGAAACAATGTGGGGGTGCAGGCAAAGCCAGGAGAAGCATACCTAGAAGCTACAAAAAGAACCTTCAGACACTGCTGGTGTCCACTACATTTTTTTTATCCTGAACATTCTTTCCCATCTGCTGACAAGGTGCTTATTCCAATCCTCACCCCTCCATAGGGAAGGGCAATAGGAGTCACCTAATCTCTCATGCTTTTTTCAACTTCTGTCTCATGCTTATTTCCCTCCCTTGTGTTCTTTTGTTCAGCCAATCCCCATCCACCAAACCCAAAAACACAGACAATGGAAAGAGAATTATGCAACTAACATGACACCTTCAAATCATAACATAGTTCCTTCTGCTTGTGTGTTACATTCCTTCTTCACTTCCTTTTGTCTTACTTGTCTATTTAGTTTATAAACTCTTCAGGGCAGGGACTGTCTCAGCCTATATTTGAATAAAGCAGCAGTTCCCAACCTTTTCCAGATGGGGACCCATTTTGACAATTCAGGAAGACTTGGTGACCCAAGGCAATTCAAAAATGGGGGGAGGAGAGAGGGCAGACGTACCTGGGGAGACACTTGGTGACCTTTTTGAAACTTAATGGCGACCCATATTTGGGTCCCAGCCTATAGGCTGGGAAACCCTGGAATAGAGTTTAGCATTAGAGGGCCCCAATCTCAGCGTAACAAGAACCATGACAGTAAAACATAAGGCCCAATGACTATTAAGTGTGGTCTCAGAGGCATCTAGAAAACTAATAAGCAAGACACAATTATATAAAGACATTTTCATTTCTTACAGTACTAATTTATTTGATACATTTTGCGTTTAATATTGAATCTGGTTGTAATGTCTGGTTCTGATTTCTTAATATGACAGATGAATAGAAAAAATAATACGCAAGTTTAACTTAGTAAAATTTGGGAGTACTCAGCTCTTTACAGGATTGGGCCCCCTACCTAGAACGTGTGAGAAGAATGTTCTTACAACTAAAATATGCTGTTTAGCTATTCTTTGCTTTAAATCCGTGCCTCTCAACCTTACCCCTTTGAGGAGTCTGATTTGTCTTATATACCCCGAAGTGTCACCTCAGTCTCAGAAACTAACAGCCTACAAAATTAGACATAAAAATACAAAAGTATTACAGCATACTATTACTGAAAAATGTCTTGCTTATTTTTACCATCTCTCTCTTTCTCCATATATAAAAAATTTTTCCTGCATCCCTCCGTCCACCTCTGTCAGATGGTGGGGGTAAAGGGGATATAGAAATGGAAGAAGGAGGTGGGGGAGGGATATGTAGTATGGGGTGGAGAGGGAAGAGTTAGGGAGGATGGGTGGTTGTAGGAACTGAGGTAAGGGGATGGGGATGTAGGAATGGAGGTTGTAGTTGGGGATAGGGATGGAAGGAGGAGGGTGAGCTGTTGGGGCATGGAGCTCTGGGACAAGGTCTAGCGCCCCAGATTACCAGGCTCTCTTCCCATGTGACCCAAATCTAGTTCTCAGTAGAGCGCAGGCATGTAAAGCTGGGGGCGCCCCCATGGTTCCATGTCTCTCCATTGTGCCTTGTCTGCACAGAGCATGTCTCAGCCTTGCAGCAGGAGCTCGTCTGCCAGCTGGAAGGGCACATCTGGAGCGCTGCCACCCAGCAAAGATGGGCAGTAACCGAGAAGATCTAATCAAACCACGAGGTACAGGGTGATCGGTAGTATCTAAGTAGCATCAGAGGGTGGTAACCTGACACAGCAGGAGAGACGTGTAATTTGCTTGTACCTGTATATAAAGTGGTGTCTTGGGGAGACAGTCTGAGGGGGCAGTGGGAGCTTCCCACTGATTAAGCTGAGTCCATTGTTACGGGGTACATATAAGTAGTGGTTTGATAGAGTCACTGACAACTATTACTGTACAGTGCTTAACAATAAACCTGGCATCTTAGATCCTTATCTGATTTGTGGTCTTTGGGGGCTTTCTTGGAGTCTGCTGGATTGACTACTTGCGCAAGTCAACAGGGCACACTTGATGGCACAGGAGGCCTGTCAGGACACCACAACAGTAAATCCTGATTTACTACATCAGTGACCTACTACATTGGTAACCTTACTACACTGGGCTCAGTGCAAAATTAATAGGCTTTCTGGCCACAAAAGCGATCGGCGAAAAGGGGGTTGGTGAGCATAGCAAGCCTGGGGCACAGCCCCTCAGTAATTATAAAATAAATCAATTGGAATATAAAGAATGTACTTATATTTCAGTGTATAGTTTATAGAACAATATCAACAAAATTTTACAGTATGAAATTTTAGTTTGTACTGACTTTACTAGTGCTTTTTATGCAGAATGTTGTAAAACTATGTAAATAGATGAGTTGATAAATCCCTGTTTGAGCATATTTTAACTGATCTGGACATTTTAGTTTTAGATTCCATCAGGGGGCAGCACTAGCCAAAAAGAGGTTGCTCTATAGAGATTTAACATTAAAGACATTTTGAATAGACCCAGAGATGGTGATTTAAACATTGCAGACGCAGCAACTCCCCTATGCAAAAGAATTACACGGTCTTTAGTCTCCTCTTCAGCCAAATGAATCTGTACTGACCAGATCACTTTTTTTCAAATATGCTTTTGAAGTAAAACGAACATCTGGTTGCAAAATGACAATGTAGTGTCTGTTGAAGCAAGGCAGCCGTTTGTCATGTTTATGGTTCTACTTTTGAAGGACTCTGTGTTAAAGTCATTTTAGCTGACACAGTATATCCTATGTTTCCTTAGCTTCCACTAAGTCATCTGAGTTACAGATCTCAGCCAGCCAAGGCTGAAAAGCAGAATGTTGTGTCAGGCAAATATTCAAAATGAAGGGTACAAAAACCATTTGCTCACAGACAGCTTAAGATACAAGATTTAACACCTTTAATTTCCCATTACCTCATTATTCCTTATATTCAAAAAATGTTAAATAATGAAAGTGAGATGGCATCAAAGCTGCATGGAACACAGATGGCTTTCAGACTAAAACCAATGATAGCCCTCACATTGAAGTATATATGGTCGATATACATGTGCTGATAATGCTATCAATGTACCAAAAACAGCAGCATCCTCTCCATCCTAAAGAAAATAAAATTGTTAGTGAGTATGTCCCTGCAAAGACTTGCCTTAGTCTGGAGGGAAGAAAACAGCATGTTACTCTATAGCCTTCATTGAATTATAATTGGTAGTTACAATGAAACAGAATCTAGAAATGTGCCATGTATAAACACCAATGTGAATTTGTTTACATGGGAACACGGCATTTAATATAATAAGAGTTTTGCAATGTTTGTAGATTTTTAGCTTTAAAGTAATCTTTTAGCTTTATCTTGTCCTTTATTTACTATTCTAAGTTAGTTAATTAGGGCTTAAAATTTCAGTTTTGCTTGGATGAAGTAAGGAAGAATAGCAGTTCATAGTCCACTCTTTTAGTCCAGCCACATTAAATTGGCCTTGCTTCCTCCTGCGGACATGACTGGAGAGAAGGGTATGTATTACTTTAACCACAGACTCCAGACTCTGCTATGTACAAATCTGAAGAAACACCATCTGCCTCTGGAAATAAATATCTTCCATGAAGACAAATCCATTTGATATCATTTCCCTGCATCATCACAATCAGTGAGCAATATAATGCAGAAAAGAAGAAAAAATCAAATTATTCATCCTCCCCAGCATATGACCCAGCATAACTGAGACTATGTTCACATCTTTAAGTTACAACTGGGTTTGGGAGGAGGACTGTCCTGGTTGGCAGAAAGAGCTGTTCTCCCAGCAATGGACACGTTGCAGAGACCGGACCCCAGAGCTGGACTAGCCCTCCCTGGGATAGAGAGGACTGGGTGGGAACGAAGAAGCAGCAGGGAAGATTCTCACTTGTTACTTTCCCCCCAGATCCACCACATCTCCCTAACCTTGTCCAGCAGCTCCCCCACTTCAGAACTCTCTGTCCCCAGGCCGGCCCAAGCCCCGCTCCAGCCTCCCGCCATCCCTCCCTGCCCGTCCCATACCCCTAGCCCCATCCCATGCCCTCCCCGGCCCCTATTTCCGAGCCGCGGCCGGACTCACCACGTCCACCACCTCCTTCTGGCGCAGCAGCTTGTGCTTCCCTTTCGGGCTCTCCGACTCCCCGAGCGGCGGGGCAAGCAGCAGCAGCGCGGGCAGCAGCAGCCAGGCGGCGGCGGCGCGCGGGCAGCGCATGGTGCGGGGCGGGGCTCGCGGAGCCGGGCAGGGAGGCCGCGCAGGCTGGGAGCGGAGGGGGCGGGGAGTCAGTGTCTGCAGCGTCCCGCGGCAGCGCGCTGCATGAATGAGCCTTTCACAGACCCGCGCCGCAGCTGCTTCCCTGGGGACGCCAGGAATTTCCAGCCTCTCTGCAACGCGGCAGAGCGACTCCCACCCGGCAGCCAGGCCAGAGCCACAGGCCGCCGGGTCCCGCCCCCGCTCGGCCCGCCACAGGCCCAGGGCAGCCGGCACCTCGGGGCGCGGGCTGCCACTGACCCTGAGCACTGGCACCAGTCACAGCCTGGACCGCCTGTACCCCGCTCCCTGGGGCCCCCGACGGCTGTACCGCCTGACCCCCGCCCCCCGCGCTCCGAGTCCCCCGACGGCTGCACCGCCTGTGCCCTGCACCCTGCGCTCCCTAGGTCCCCCCGACGGCTGTCCCGCCTGAGCCCCGCTCCCCGCGCTCCCTGGGCCCCCCGACGGCTGTCCCGCCTGAGCCCCGCTCCCCGCGCTCCCTGGGCCCCCCGACGGCTGTCCCGCCTGAGCCCCGCTCCCCGCGCTCCCTGGGCCCCCCGACGGCTGTCCCGCCTGAGCCCCGCTCCCCGCGCTCCCTGGGCCCCCCGACGGCTGTCCCGCCTGAGCCCCGCTCCCCGCGCTCCCTGGGCCCCCCGACGGCTGTCCCGCCTGAGCCCCGCTCCCCGCGCTCCCTGGGCCCCCCGACGGCTGTCCCGCCTGAGCCCCGCTCCCCGCGCTCCCTGGGCCCCCCGACGGCTGTCCCGCCTGAGCCCCGCTCCCCGCGCTCCCTGGGCCCCCCGACGGCTGTCCCGCCTGAGCCCCGCTCCCCGCGCTCCCTGGGCCCCCCGACGGCTGTCCCGCCTGAGCCCCGCTCCCCGCGCTCCCTGGGCCCCCCGACGGCTGTCCCGCCTGAGCCCCGCTCCCCGCGCTCCCTGGGCCCCCCGACGGCTGTCCCGCCTGAGCCCCGCTCCCCGCGCTCCCTGGGCCCCCCGACGGCTGTCCCGCCTGAGCCCCGCTCCCCGCGCTCCCTGGGCCCCCCGACGGCTGTCCCGCCTGAGCCCCGCTCCCCGCGCTCCCTGGGCCCCCCGACGGCTGTCCCGCCTGAGCCCCGCTCCCCGCGCTCCCTGGGCCCCCCGACGGCTGTCCCGCCTGAGCCCCGCTCCCCGCGCTCCCTGGGCCCCCCGACGGCTGTCCCGCCTGAGCCCCGCTCCCCGCGCTCCCTGGGCCCCCCGACGGCTGTCCCGCCTGAGCCCCGCTCCCCGCGCTCCCTGGGCCCCCCGACGGCTGTCCCGCCTGAGCCCCGCTCCCCGCGCTCCCTGGGCCCCCCGACGGCTGTCCCGCCTGAGCCCCGCTCCCCGCGCTCCCTGGGCCCCCCGACGGCTGTCCCGCCTGAGCCCCGCTCCCCGCGCTCCCTGGGCCCCCCGACGGCTGTCCCGCCTGAGCCCCGCTCCCCGCGCTCCCTGGGCCCCCCGACGGCTGTCCCGCCTGAGCCCCGCTCCCCGCGCTCCCTGGGCCCCCCGACGGCTGTCCCGCCTGAGCCCCGCTCCCCGCGCTCCCTGGGCCCCCCGACGGCTGTCCCGCCTGAGCCCCGCTCCCCGCGCTCCCTGGGCCCCCCGACGGCTGTCCCGCCTGAGCCCCGCTCCCCGCGCTCCCTGGGCCCCCCGACGGCTGTCCCGCCTGAGCCCCGCTCCCCGCGCTCCCTGGGCCCCCCGACGGCTGTCCCGCCTGAGCCCCGCTCCCCGCGCTCCCTGGGCCCCCCGACGGCTGTCCCGCCTGAGCCCCGCTCCCCGCGCTCCCTGGGCCCCCCGACGGCTGTCCCGCCTGAGCCCCGCTCCCCGCGCTCCCTGGGCCCCCCGACGGCTGTACCGCCTGTGCCCCGCATCCTGCGCTCCCTGGGTCTCACCGACAGTTGTACCGCTTCTGTCCTGCACCCTGCGCTCCCAGGGTCCCACCGACAGCTCTACCACCTGTGCCCCGCACCCTGCGCTCCTTGGGTCCCCCTGACAGCTGTACTGCCTGTTCCCCATACTCTGCACTTCTTGGGTCCCCCCAACAGCTGTACTGCCTATGCCCTGCACCCCGAGCTCCCTTGGTCCCACCGACAACTGCACCGCCTGTGCCCTGCACCCTGCATGCCCTGGGTCTAACCAACAGACATCTTGTACTTCCTGTGCTCCGCACCTCTTCGCTCCCTGGGTCCTATAACCTTTGCCCCGCACGCCTGCACTCCCTGGGTCCCACCTCTGTGTTTGCTCTGCTCTGCTCCCCTTCACTCCCTGGGTCCAACAGCTCTACCACCTGTGCCCCCACATCCCTTCCCTGGGTCAGACAGCTGTCCCACCTTTGCCCAACACCACACCCCTTCTCTGGGGTCCCACCGCTCTACCGCCTGTGCTCCACACCCCTTCCCTCCCTGGGGTCTGACAACTTTACCTCCTGTGCCCTTCAGTTCTTCTCTCCACTCTCTCTTCCCTAGGGCCAGACCACTGTACCACCTGTACCCCACACCTCTTTCCTGGGGTCCATCAGCTGTATTGCCTGTCATCAACAGTCCTTTCCCTGGGTCAGGCAAGTGTATCGCCTCTGCCACACAGTCCCTTCCTGAGGTCAGACAGCTGAACTGTCTGTACTCCACATTCTCTTCTCTGAGTCAGACAACTGTACTACCTGTGTCCAACACCCTGAGTCAGAACTGTACCACCAGGAGTGAGAGTCCCAGGGGTGAAAGTAATTTAAATTTTGTATAGGTACTATCATATTACAACCCCCCTTGGCAGGCACAAGGTAGGGACAGGGGGATTACAATAGTACGGTCCCTGTAAGAAATGTAAGTGCAAGTTGGAGTGTGAGTAGGGCAGGGCAAGGAGTTTGGGTGGGGTGAGTGGCTCACGCCAGGTTGGGTGACGTGTGAGGGCTGGCAGGCTCAGGGAAAGTGCAAGCCCTTTAAATAGAAGCAGATGAAAGGGCTCATGGGTCTGGCTCCTAGGGTCTGGCTCCTAGGCAACGCACTGGGGGAAGAGCCTGGAACAGATGCACAGGTCAGATCAAAGCCCTAGGCAGCAGGATCTGGCCCGCTGAGGGGCTTTTGTCCACCCCTGTTCTAGTCAGAGGCACGGCCAATGGCTCTGTGCTGTGCACACTGCCCATGCCCACAGGTTCCCAACCAATGGGAGCTGTGGAGTCTGCGCTGGGGGCAGGGGCAACATGTGGAGCTTCCCTGATCAACCCCGGGCCAAGGGGTCAGAGGGACATGCCAGCCACTTCCAGGGGTTGTGCAGAGCCAGGACAGGCAGGGAGCCTGCCTTAGCTCTGTCGTGTTGTTGACTGGACCTTTAACCGCCCAATCAGCAGTGCTGCCTAGAGTCACCAGGGTCCCTTTTCGACCAAGCATTCCTGTTGAAACCTGGCAACCTTAGCCCACCAGACCCCCTTTTTCTCCTGCTCCCTCCCTCCCCACCAAGGCCTCATCCCCTGGTTAGGCTGGCTGCTATCGGAGCCCAGATGAGGATACTGGGCAGCTGTGGGGCACCATGGATCCTTTACCACCTGGGATTGGGAGGGGGTTGAGAGCAGTCCCCACCCCATGGGGCAGGAGGGTCTGCAGCTCCCCACATGCATAGTGTGGCTCTCACCTGGTCCTGCCTCTGGCTGGAAGGCTGCAGTCTAGCCATGGTAAGAACCATGAGGGCAGCCGTGGGATGCTGTGCTATGGACCCTCCACCTGCCCTGGGTGGGAGCCTGTGGGACAGGAACATGGACCAGGTGCTACTCTCAACCCTGTGAACTCAGGCAGATGGAGGGTCCACCGTTACGGCTGCCAGGTGTCCAGTTTTGAACTGGACAGTCCAGTATTTAAGTTTTCTGTTTGGGAAACAAATTGAAAAAATATAAATGAGAAAATATAAATGTCCAATATTTTCTAAATGAGATGTAATGTAGATTGTGATGTCATGTCAAGTGTGTCCAGTATTTTTGTTGAAACCATCTGGCAACCCTATCCACGGTTCCCACCTTGTTCCAGTTTGTCCGGGAGTGTTGCCCTAGATTTAAGAGGGGTGTATATTCCAGAATATAATTAAACCAATGGTAACCATATTATGTGCATTTAGCCACCATGTAATAATGAAATAAAACATCACATAATGAAGGGTTAATTTAAAGACAGGCTTTTAGAAACAAGGTCAAAACTAGTTAACAGCTTCTGCTCATCAGAATGGGAGGAGGGGGACAAAAAATTAGACAAGTGAAACTAACAACTGGTGATTGGAAAACCTTGAGTCTGTGTTCCTCTGATACCAGAAGTTTATTGAAAGTTAGGAAAAACAGTAAATCAGTAAAGATGATTATAACCTACGGCTGTGTCTAGACTGGCCAGTTTTTCTGCAAAATCAGCTACTTTTGCGGAAAAACTTGCCAACTGTCTACACTGACCGCTTGAATTTCCGCAAGAACACTGACGATCTCATGTAAGATCGTCAGTGCTCTTGCGGAAATACTATGCTGCTCCTGTTCGGGCAAAAGCCCTCTTGCGCAAATCATTTGCGCAAGAGGGCCAGTGTAGACAGCACAGTACTGTTTTGCGCAAAAAAGCCCCGATGGCTAAAATGGCGATCGGGGCTTTTTTGCGCGAAAGCGCATCTAGATTGGCACGGACGCTTTTCTGCAAAAAGTGCTTTTGCGGAAAAACGTCCGTGCCAATCTAGACGCTCTTTTCCGAAAATGCTTTTAACGGAAAACTTTTCTGTTAAAAGCATTTCCGGAAAATCATGCCAGTCTAGACGTAGCCTACGTGTTTTGCAGAAGTTAGTTGTAAAAAATTAGCTAAGATAGTGTACTTGGGAGCAGTCATCCGAAGCCAATTTGAAAGGCAGTTTTCATACCATCTTTTCTCCTCTAAGGGTGAGGAACTGGCTACGGCAAACCCGCTGTTAATTACTCAATACCATTCCAGATGTTAGCTAAATACCTGGGATGTTCTAACCCTCTTGCTTATGTGTGTGTGTGTGACAAAAGCATGTTTTCTTGCATTGAATCCTTAATCAGACAGATTTGCTATGTTCCTATTGATTTATTCCTGATGCCATTTGAAGTGAGAGAGTTGGGGGTTCTGGAAACCATGTGTAGCAGGGGCAGAGCCTCGAACAGAAGGAGTGGGTGGGAA